TGGCTCAGTGCTTATGGTTTGAGACGGTGTGCTATGCTATGGGGAGACATATGGTGATAGCAGTTGGTTTGCCTCATCTGCAGCAACGATTAATGGACTGCCCAGGTCAGCTCCAATCTTTGTCTTTGTGTTGTGATGGTGCATTCAAAAAGGCTGAAGTTGCGATTGGGGTGATCCTCAAAGATTTTAATGGGACACTGGAGGATGGTATAGCTAAGAGAATTCTGACTGTTTCCAGTCGATTTTCGAAAGTTGCAGCAGTTAGAGAAGCGTGCTTGCTGGCCTGTGCATCTGGGTTACGGAAATGTGACTATTGTAAGTGATAATCTGGAGTCCATCAAACTAAGTTCAACAGAAGATACTCTCCCATGGGAAATTAGTGCCTTTGTCAGCGATATTAGGAGCTATGCTACTGATCTTAATTTAAAATTTGTACACAAGCCTAGGGCTCTTAACAGAGCAGCTCACTAGGTGGCAACCATGTCGATATCTGATGATGTCTAAAATAAATTTCAAGTGTTAAATCAGGAGTTCAGCTCAGACCGGAAGGTCAAACATATTAACTGAGGTCAGAAGGCAAGGGCTGAATGTCTCTTGAGGCAAGGCAACGGCTGGATAACCACGAGAGGTTCCTAAAGCGTTAGGAAGCTATAATCAAGGCACCTAATCTCAACCAACCAAGATCTTCTCCTAGAATTAAGGAGAACCCCACGAAGTAAAGGCAAGAATCTCGGCTAAGATCCCACTGAATAGGGAACAACCCTATAAATACTTACGTAACGCCCCCAAAGAGGAGGGAGGATCCTAGAGGCAAAAAATAGTCATTGTACTCTTGTAATTATCATTATTGAAAGGCAAGGAGCAAGAGTTTCCATTAAAGAGTGGATTAGCCGAACTCCAAGCTGGTAAACCACTATACTTTTTTGTGTTAATCCTCACAGCCCATAGAAAAACATTTCTTTCATTATCACATCATTATCACTGCAAAGCATAATTACGATTCATTACTCATACAATTCAGTTTACACCATCAGTTTGGCGCCGTCTGTGGGAACGACTATTTCTGTTACAAATAAAGCTGATTTTTAGTGACTGATGGTAGCAATGCGAAATATGAGCCGAAGACAGACCAACCCTCTACGGATACATGATCAATAAGAAGCTGCAAATAAAGACAACCCAAAAACGCACAAGAAGCTGATCCACCCATGGGGGGCCTTCCCATGAATCATGAGATGGAGGCCCTTCGTCTTGTTAATGAACATTTGATAAACAAGAACGAAGAGCTCTTAAAGCTCCTACAACGCCTACAGGAGACGCAACCGGCCAAGGAGGCTAGAATAATCCACCACCAAGGGAGCAACCGTATCTCGACCCCCTCAGAGAAGTTAATGAGGTGGGAGAGAATAGTCAGACCTTGGGAAAAGAGCCTCGCCTACCCCTAGGAATGGTCATAACAAGGAAGTGTAAAGTCAGTATAAGGAAGGGGAGAGGAGCGACTTCTTCCCTTATAAATAGGAGAGAAGAGAATACCTGATGAGAATAGATGTCTTGGTGCAGCAAATCGAATCCCCATTCACTGCTGGGGTGCTGCACTTCTCTCTCCCACCTAAATTCAGAATGCCGCAGTGGATGCTTTCGATGGGACAAAAGATCCCGTAGACCACTTCAACACCTACAAAAATCAAATGGAGTTGCATGGATATCAAGACCCGGTGAGATGCAGGGCCTTTGCTATCAACCTGAAGGGCTCAACCTTAGCATGGTTCAACAGACTCTCCCTAGCCTCGATTTTCTCTTTTAAAGAGCTATCAATCTCGTTTGTGTCCCACTTCATCGGAGCTCGAACCTATAGGAAACCGAGCTACCATTTATTAAATGTGAAACAGGTACCTGATGAGAACCAACGGTCTTATGTCCAACAGTTCAACTCAGAATCCTTGAAGGTAGATGTCCCAGACGAAAAATTTGCTATCACAGCCTTCATAGCAAGTCTGGGAGTTCAGTCAAAAGATTTGATGTTTTCATCTCAAAGAACCCCCAGGCTAGTATGGCGGAGGTGCTTGCCAAGGCAAAAAAGTACATAAAATGGTGAGGAAGCGCTCCTCTCCAAGGTTGGGAGCTCTTCGTCGAGAAAGGAAAAAGGGAAGGAAGAAAAGAAGAGAGAACGAAGTCCCAAAAAAGAAAGAGAGCGAGGCAGGTCTCCAAGAAGAGACAGAGAGCGTTTCCCGAAGAGAAGAGAAAATGTTAGGGATGACCTCGCCCTCCACAACCAGAGTTATAATCAAGGTATGCACCTCGGCAGCTGACCCCTCTGACTGCTACAATGTCTCAGATATTGTATGAGGTGCAAAATGAGAGGTTCTTAAGGTGGCCACCCCGGATGAAAGCAGACCAGGCAAAAAGGGATCCTACGAAGTATTGTGACTTTCACAAATACCATGGTCATCACACCAACGACTGTATCCAATTGAAGAAGGAAATAGAATTTCTAATCCAGTAAAGGCAGCTGCAATGCTATGTGGCCAATGATAATCAAAATCAAGCTCTCCCACCTCCACCCCCTCAGCGTCAAGCACCAGAGCCACACCAGCAACCTATGGGGGAGATCAGAGTGATATCTAGAGGATTTGCCGAAGGAGAAGGGTCCAGCTCTGCCAGAAAGGAGCATTTGCGGAAAATCAGAGCCACAGAAGCTCCCAAAGTATATACTGTGTCTAAGTCTCCACGCTTAGACACGATTATCATTTTCTCAGAATCAGATCTGGAGGGCTGCCAACAAGCCCATGATGACCCTTTGGTGGTAAGAGCTGTGGGGGCCAACAGGATTGTCCATCGTGTTTTGATTGACAATGGCAGCTCGACAGACATCATTTTTGCTTTTGCTTTCGACAAAATGGATATAGGAAGGGAAAAGCTTGAACCAGTAAGTGCCCACCTATTGGGATTCTCAAGAGAAAGGGTGCTGCCCCTGGGATCAATTCAACTCATCTTAATCTTAGGTAACCCACCCTGTCAGACTAAAATAACTGTGAAATTTCTAGTGGTTGATGCACCTTCAACATACAATATGCTCCTTGGAAGACCCTCGCTCAATTCTATAAGGGCTATTCCCTCTGCCTATCACCTTGCAGTGAAGTTTTCAACAGAAAACGGAGTTAGAGTGGTCCGAGGAGACCAATTCGTAGCACGGGAATGCTACATGACATCCATGAGAAATAAGGAGGTTGAGAGCATCCAATTGGATCAGCTTGACATGAAGGATGAACTCGAGACCAAGCCAACACCATCAGAAGAACTGGAACTTGTTCAAATGGATGAGGAACCAGAGCATCTCGTTTATGTTGGATCCAAGCTGAGCAAGTAAATCAAGGATCTCCTCATCCAATTCCTGAAAAGGAACAAGGAAGTTTTTGCATGGAAGCAAGAGGACATGAAAGGGATTGATCCCTCTGTTATCACTCACAAGCTCAGTGTGAATCTAACCTGTAAGCCCGTTAAGCAAAAGAGGAAGAGCTTCACCCCGGAGCGTCAGAAGGCCATCAACGAAGAGGTCAGCAAGCTCCTTCATGCGAAAGCCATTCGAGAAGTGGATTACCCAGTTTGGCTAGCCAATGTAGTCTTAGTCAAGAAGACAAACGGTAAATAGCGTCTTTGCATCAACTTTATAGACCTCAATCGTGCTTGCCTGAAAGATAGTTTTCTTTTATCCCGAATAGATTTGATTGTAGATGCCACCGCGGGACATGAGCTCCTCAGCTTCATGGATGCCTTCTCTGGGTACAATCAGATCAGAATGGATCCCAGTGACCAAGAGAAGACCTCATTCATAACTGAGCAAGGGACATACTGTTATCAAGTGATGCCTTTCGAGTTAAAAAATGCAGGACCCACTTACCAGTGCCTAGTGAATAAGATGTTTCAAAAACAGATTGGGACCTCCATGGAGGTCTATATTGACAACATGCTGGTCAAGTCACTGAGGGCAGAGCTCTACATTAGACACCTAACAGAGTTGTTTCAGGTCCTGAAAGAATACAAGATGAAGCTCAACCCAGCTAAGTGTGCCTTTGGGGTGTCGGCAGGAAAATTTCTGAGCTTCATAGTTAATAGCAGAGGGATAGAGGCTAACCCAGAAAAGGTAAAAGCAGTGTTGGATATGCAACCTCCCTCCAACACGAGGGAAATACAGTGTTTAATCGGGAGAATAACTGTCTTGAGTCGCTTCGTTTCCAGATTAAGCGACAAGTGTCAGCCCTTCTTCCAAGTCTTAAAGAAAGCCTTTCAATGGGATGCTCGGTGTGAAGAAGCCTTCAAAGCATTGAAAGAATACTTGAGCTCCCCACCTATCTTGGTAAGTCCGTTAGAAGGAGAAATACTTACCCTTTATCTGGCTCTCTCAGAGTTCTCAACCAGCGCAGCACTAGTAAGGGAGAAGGACAAAGCTCAACAACCAGTTTACTACTGCAGTCGAGCTCTGAGGGGGGCAGAAGAAAAGTATCCTAAAATGGAAAAACTCATTTTAGCCTTAGTGACAACTGTCAAGAGACTAAGACCCTACTTCCAGGCTCATACTATCGAAGTCCCAACAGATCAACCTATGAAGTAGGTGTTGTACGAGCCAGAATCTTCGGGGAGACTGGTTAAATGGGATGTTGAATTTAGCGAGTTTGACATCAGATACAAGCCAAGTACAGCCATTAAGGGGCAGAAATTGACAGATTTCATTGCAGAATTCACAACTAGGATACCTGCAGAGACAGCGCAGTTAGTACCTGACCTCCCCACGTGGAAACTCTCAGTAGATAGAGCTGTCAATGCTCAGGGCAGTTGAGCTGATTTGATTTTGAATTCCCCTGATGAGATAGATGTTGAATACGCACTGAGATTTGGATTCAAAACTTCAAACAACAAAGCTGAGTATGAGGCAGTCTTAGCAGGGCTCAGCTTAGGTCATTCAATGGAAGTCGAGCAACTGGAGATTTACAGTGACTCACAACTCGTGGTGAGACAGATAGAGGGTGCTTACGAGGCTAAGGGTGAGAATATGACCCTTTATTTTAGAAAGGTGCAAGAATTAATCTAGAATTTTGTGCAAGTAAAGATCAGACATATCCCTAGAATAGAAAATTCGAGAGCGGACGTTTTGGCAAGCTTGACAACTGCTTCATGAGAAAATCTAGACAGGTTGATCCCCGTGGAACATCTGGCAGAACCATCTGTGTATATTGAGAATGGAGAAGTTTTTCCTATGCAGAGT